TTGATATTACTTAGTTGTACATCTTTACCCCTGACTAGTCAAACAAAGGATTGGTGTCTTGTCCTTGTGCCTAGAGGCTAATGAGGTCTGGATGGGGAGGAATAAGGTCAGGCTAAGTGCAACAAGATCAAGTGGTATTTGTATAGGTAATTGGTTCTTCCAGTGTTGGAGATATTACATGTTTGCTCTGAATGTGGTTGCATATGCTCATTCAAGACAGGTACATAATCTGGAGAATTTGTCCTGGACTCTAAGGACTGGAGGCTAAAACATACAGTATGAAGAATGGTTGCAGGAATTGGATATGTCTAGTTTAGTGAAAAGAAGGTTAAGGGGTGACATGATAGCAGTGTTCCAATATCTAAGGGGCTGCCACAAAGAAGAGGGAGTCAAGCTATTCTCCAAGGTACCTGAAGGCAGAACAAGAAGCAACAGGTGGAAACTAATGAAGGAGAGAAGCAACTTAGAATTAAGGAGAAATTTCCTGAGAGTTAGAACAATTAATCAGTGGAACAACTTCCCTCCAGAAGTTGTGGGTCCTCCAACACTAGAAGTTATTAAGAGGAGATTGGACAACTATTTGTCTGAAATGGTATAGGGGTTCTTACTTGAGCAAGGGATTGGATTAGAAGACCTCTAATGTGCCTTCCAACTCTGTTTTTATTATTCTGCTGTTTGAGTAGGTGGCAGTTATGACCAGGAAGGTCTTTGCAAAGGTTCAACTTCATTCATGCTTGTTACTGAATCAAGAGGCCATCCATACCATAACCCGTATTTTGATCACTTCACAGTTGCTCATAGATGCTTCACCTGAGTTGTCCTTGTAGATCACTCAGTAATCTCAGCTAGTCTAGAATGCAGCAGCACGAGCATCAAAGGGTAAGGTGCACTATGTAATACCCTTGCTAAATGAACTTACCAGTTGGCATCTGGGTGCAATTTAAAGTGATGGCTATTACCTATAAATAGCATTGGGCTTGACTAATTAAAGAACTACCTGTTTCATAGTTTCACACTCTGCTGATCTGCTTCTGATCCTGTTGATTAAGCAATACCATTTAATATGACTGAAGAAGTGGGCCTTTTATGTAACAGCATTACAATATAGTCCTCACCTCATTTGCCTTTAGGTGGCCTTTAAAAAGCTCCCCCACTACCCCAGGCCTTAAACTGGTCTGTTGGTCTGTTCCCCTTTGAGAGTATGTTGTCCTTTGGACATAGTTTGTTTTTTATATAATGTTATTTCTTTTAACTTGTGAAGCCATTCAGAGTCACTTTGGAGCTGGGTGGCCTAGAAATTCAACAAATATATCACAAAATTTGGAAGCTGATTCTTGTAACAATAGCTGGCATATTCTTTTTTTATTTATAAGAAAAATAAACATTAATTATCTCACCTCTCTAAGTATTGTAATACAAAACAAAATTTTCACTCTCCTGATTCTGTTCATTAACACAGTATGCTCCCTCAAAAGCAATTGTTCTAAAATGTGCCTCTGATGCTGAAGAAAATAAGGTTATTGTACTTTCATAAGTCTTCTTTAGCTTGTAAGTATTGGTGCCTGCATATGGACAACCTGATTTTTTCACTATGATGAAGGTGAATTAATCTAAATATGTAGCAGGAAGAAACTACCCTTCATGTTTCCTAAGAAATTCTAGACATTTATTATGAACAGCTCTGAAGAGAGTCCAGTTGGGAAAGGTTGACTCTAAGCCAGTGGTTCTCAACCTTTTTAATGCCGCGACCCCCAACCGGTCGTAAGTCGAGGACTAAACCGGATGTAAGTCGAGGACTACCCAACCGGTCGTAAGTCGAGGACTTTCCCTGCCCGGGAGCGCCACGCATCATGGTTCCGCCCCCTGTGCCGGCCGAGTCGTAGCTGGCAAGCGGCAGAGACGGAGCAGGCCGACCACCAGCTGGCCCAGCCCAAGGGAGGTAAGGCACCCGCCGGAAAAGGGGAAAAAAATGGCGGACAGCCTTGCTTGGCGACCCCCGTGAAATGGTTGATCGACCCCAAATGGGGTCGTGACCCATAGGTTGAGAACCGCTGCTCTAAGCACTGCATTAACAAATCACATCCCCCCATATAAATGTTCCAACTGTTGGCTTCTTGCATTATAGTAGAGAGCAAGGTGGCCTACCTTATTATCAGCAAATTCATGTACTGAAAACAGCCACCAAAGTTGCTATAAATGCTGCCTCTATTATAATAGTTCCTGCATTCTGTTTAGCTTTCCATGTCTTTGTTCAGCAATTAGGCTAATGTTTCTAATATCTTTCATCTAATTTGTCTTGGGAGTTGCTATGGTGTTGTGTTGCTTTACAAATGGTAAGACCACACAGGCTGGGCTCTGCTAACACATTATGTTGTATTATGTATAATGTACGATTAGACAAATGTAAATTTTAACATTACATCACATACATGTGGCTGTTGTAATTACAACATGCCATCCAAAAATCTTTATTGGACAAAACGGTTTTGCTCAAATAAAAAATTGTTATTTATTTTTAAAGTTTCTCATAATTTATTCTTCTTAAATTATATATGATAAAAGCTTTAATACTTTATAAATACCTGTAAAGAAAATATAATGTTCATTTTCTTTGACATAAAACATTTTTGTATTTCATTTTACATTTTACATTGTCACAAACACATACTGGCACCAAGAAAAGACTTAACCAAAATAGTTTAGCATTCTGGGGATTAAGTCTAGGTTGGAAACATTCACATTATCAGAATTTGCACAAGATTAATTTAGATTTCATTTAATTTTGGCTACAATATGGATACTGACTTAATCAAAGAATAAAGCATAATTCATGTCTATGAAGGAGCATGACAATCTTATGCTGTACTAATAACTGCTGATATTGAATGGCAATTTACACTATAATAATGCTACTGCTTTTCCCTCTGGATAGAAATTTGTAAACTTCAAATCTTGACTGGATCCACACATCACATTAAGCATTTTAGCAACATTTGGAACCAGGTAGCATAAAACCAAACAAAAGTTATATTAAGGAGATGTATGAATCCAGCCAAAGTGATATGTGCAATATATGTTCCTTTTTTTGACTATTTAGTAAAGGAAATGCCCTATAATTTGTTGTGTGTTTCTCATAAAATCAGAGGCTGGAAAGTTTCTTGCAAATCTTTAGTGCAACCTCTGCTTAGGGCAGGAAATCTTATACCAGACAAATGATTGCTTGACCTTGTTTGAAGAGTTCCAGGATCAGAGGCAACTTAACTATTCTCACAGTCAGGACATTCCTCCTAATTTTAAGTTTAAATGTCTTTCTCTATAAGAATTCTATTCATTGCTTCTTGTCCTACCTTTTGTCATTGTGGAGAATAAAACCACATCCTCTTCCTTGTGATAGCCTTGTAGTAATGTGCAAATCTTGAAATCTATTAATGCTTTCTATTTAGATGATTCTCTCTCTGAATTTTCTGCTGCTCTTATTGTAAATACAGAATAATGGTGAAAAATACTAATGAAATGTATTCAGCATAAAAATAATACCATGTTTAAATTAAGGGGAAAAGGGACAATTATAATTCTTTTATTATAATTTCGTTCCTTTAATAGAATTTATCAGGACTGCAGCATCAAAACTACATTATCATAAAAACCTCTTCCCAAAATATCAAAATGTTTAAAAAACAAGATTTTTGCCTTCTCTGAAAGGAATCAATAGCTGCAGCTAAGAAGTGTGTCTGATTTCATGCTGCTCGTGACTGCTGTCCTCTCCATGCTGATCATGCTGGACCACATAGACCATGATCAGAATGGATACTGGTGTCTTCCCATGCAATTGATGGAGAGATGATATCCCTATTGCTCCATTTTTATAGGTGGAAGCACACGACTAGTAAAATAAATGGAGAATAAGCTTTTCCCCAAATGATATAATCTTTTGCTTTGAGATCTTAAGCCATGTATTGGCTAACTATGGACTGCATGAATTCCCCCAGCCCATTTTTGCAGCAACCAGAACCAGTAATATCAACTTGCTAAAATTCAAGAAGGCTTGATTAATCTAAGGCATGGTGGTAACCTATGTGCCTAGTCTAATGTTTGTGGCCCCAAATGTAATTCTGAGGCAAAAAGAGAGCATTTTGGTAATATGATTGTTTTGATTTCAATAACTTGACTGCATGTACTAAAGGCATGCACTCTGATTTATATGTTATTTTGAATCTTATTGATGATTTTTCTCATACCTATAGTTAAATGAGAAAGTGATTTTTCAAGTATAGTTTGAAATCTGTAATCTGCTTTACTTACACCCGTTCTTTTTTTCTTCTGATCTTGCAGCCTTTTTATGCCTATTTTTTCTTCATTTGCTTCATGATTTCTTTCCATATTTTTATCTATTTCAGTCTCTGACAGGCTTCAGCCTAATACTTATTCTCTGTAAATGCTGCCATGTCTAATGTAACAATTAAACCAATTTTTTTAAAAGAAAAGAATATTTTATTATTTTAAAAAGCCTCTCTGCCCTTTGGTTAATGGCTTCTTGTGTCAGTTTTGAACCGATAGCAGTCTCTCAATTGGGTGAAAAGTGTCATCAATGGCTGAAAAATAGAATACCAATAATAATGCTCTTCAGTGTTTTCACATTTATATTTAGAATTTCTTTCTTTTTTAAAAAAAAATATCTCTCTTCTGAGAACTCTGTCGCTTGAAATGTGTGAATCTGAGAGCCTAACAGCGCTGATATTCATTCATACAAGTGAAGGAGATGATCTAATGCTTTTCCATTAGGACTCAATTCCAATTGCCACAGACTGTTTTTGCTAGCAAACTCTTCTTGACTTGACTGAAATAAACAGGACAGACACTTTTGATTTTCCCAAAATCTGTGCCTGATTTGGCTGATGTAATAAGGCGTTTCCCTGATAAAAGGAACACAGTGAAGAGGTGCCCTTTTGTTGAAAATGTGTTGAAATTTACCAAAGGAGGAAAATATGTTTTTAAAAAGGAAGCTGTGAGGGAAAAGAAACTAAAAACTGGATATAAGGTAAATTACATTTCAATATTTGGGCTGAAAGAAATTGGCAGGGTATTGTGAGGATACTGCCTTGTTTTTTCTGCAAGTCTTCCCCATGAATTCAATAGAGTTGTAATCCTATGCATATTTCTCTGAGTATCAGATCCACTGAAATCAATGGGATTTACTTCTAGTAAACATGCATAGGATGGTGCACTCTAAATCAGTGGGAAGATATATATATTCCAAGTTTTCTTCTACCTGAAATACTATTGGTTGCACATTTAGCTTGGGCCCCTTTCAATTAAATATATGATATACCTAAAACATGGGTGTGACTTTCTAGTTTCAAAACTGAGATGAGAGCCACTAAAGAGAGGGGCTATTTTGTGCCCAGGGACCATATTAGAAAGACAGACAAGTCTCCTAGTATTCCAAACAATGTTACATTTTGAGATAGGTGAGCAGTAATAAAATCTAAAATATTTATAGTTTGTACAGAAAGGGTAATAAACACAACTGTTGCAGTGACATTGTGCTACTTCCTTGAGAAACTGGTTTTACTCATTCCTGAAGGAGGCTGCCTATTTGAAAAGATTATAGATTGCTTTGAATAAATTGGTTGCCATTTCATATCTATCCAACTTTTTGTTTTGCTTATTCTTGAGGCAATTGATAAATATAGAATAATACCAATTGTACTCATGGAAAGATGCCAATTACTTGAAATTAGGAGTGCAATGGAGATGTGAATATTTCCAATCTAGTTTTCTGCCAAGGACTGTTTTTAATTTTCCTCATTTAGAATATCAATCAAAGCTTGTAGTAGTCTGTCATCCCTGTGCTTATATGATTTTGAATTGTAAAAAAGGTCAACATAGTCACTATATAGAGACTCCTCTGAGTGTCTCAGCTCAGGGCCTTGGTTTAGTTTCTCGAGAGCTTGATAGAAATGTTCATATGGAATATCCGTGTTTTCATTTAGCATCTTCTTTGGTAAATGATTCCCAACCAACTGACTATGGAATGCATTTTGAAGTAGACGGAGCATTGCATCAGAGGGAGCCACATCTTGGTTTTGCTGTTTGCTCCTAGTGCTTCCTCTCACTTTGTATTTGTCTTGAGTCGTATGGTCCTGAAAAATAGATACGAGGGTACCAAATGTCAGGAGCTATTGATTATTATCAAAAGTAGGTCACAAGTTTCCTGCAAAAGTTGTTTGAGCTGGAAATTCTGAGAACAAAATTACAGAATTCTTTGTGTGGTGCTAAACATGTGTAGCTAGTTATACATGTTTGAGATTCAGCACACTTAAGATGCTCTAGAAACCTGTGGAGAAATTTTGCAATGGCTTGGGGAATCAGCATATTCAGGAAGTTTATGTATGAATCCTACATGAACTAGAACATAAGGAGTTTTTTTGAACCATATGCATTACTAACTATTGACTAGACAAAGAGCTAATAAGCAGAGGACTAAGGTAATAACAAATTTTCTAGTGTTGCTTCTCCAATTTTTTTGCAACTAGTGCTTTTGCATAGCATATTGGCACCACACCAGGAATTTCTTGAACTACAACAACTTGCTATAGTTTTTATGCTAGTCTTTCATAAATTTGTCTTTAAAATCCATCTAATCAAGTAGTCATGATCAAATGTAATGTTGGGAAATACCAAACCACCTGAGAGGGAAAAACTATGTTGATTTAGAACATGTTAATTTAGAATAAAAACCATTCTCACTTATTTCACATTTTATAAAGAAATCATAGATTGGAATAGATTTAGAAGGGTACCTCCATGGAGTCTATCATCTTTTCCACCCCTCTCCTGTCATTTTGGACAGTGTTGTATGATGTATAGATGCGAGGTTGCTTCATATGTTCAGGTCTTGTGGAAGTGCCATGCAGAATCAATTTCCAGTTTACAATTCTGCCTTCATTTTGCATTCTTTTAGACTGAGGAAAAGAGTAATTGTCAATCTTTTATAGTCCATCAGTTGAAAAGATAAAAATACAAGCATATTACAAAAACTTTTTAAATTTAAAACTATTTAAATCTGATGATATTTATATACTCATATATATAGTTACTTCTATTAAATGTACAGAGATCAAACATAAATATTTTATTTAAAAGAGTAACAACCATTTTTAATAAAGGGAGTGGGAATCTTATTAACATTTTACTATCCCATGCACTTTCTAAATATATATGTAAATCAGAACACATTAATGTCTCCAAACATACTATATTACCAAATGTACAATAGAGCTTACAGCTCAAAAATTGGTACACAAGAATGCATATATTTTATAAATGCCTACTATATAATCTAGGGTAAAGTATGTACAAAACTGGATTATGTTCAGATAACGTATTCAAGACTGGATAAAATGTACATTTTGAGAACCATAACTATGCATACAAATATTTATGCATAAATGAGCTGACCATAGCTTAGTTTTTTTTAAAAAAAAAATTGAGTAGAATGAAATGGATACATCACCACATTTCTATCTTGGAAGCATCCCCATTCATTTCCATCTAAATTGAGTTATAGTTGATGAGCCACATTCCTAAAGTATTTTAATTGTTATGCAATTCTCTATTTGAAGTTCACAATTTTCCCACTTGGCATTTCAGGAGACAAATGTGATTTTAAAAAATAAAAGTCATAGTCATTATGTTTCTTAAATAGGCCCCAAAAGTACCAGTTCACTTAAAAACTGTTATAAAATCCTAAGAATAAATTCTATTCATTATCAGCAGTGAATCTTAGTAAAAATCCCATTGGTAGCAGTGATTAAAGTTAAGGCTCATTGGCGCAAGAGTTGCTTTCTAGAGAAGCAAGATGCCATGAATTCAGAAATACTGCTTTCTCTATTTGCCAGTTTGCATTGAATTGCTATACTCTTTAACCTTTTAAGTCATCAGGCATTCTGTTTTTAAATAAGCGAATAAATAAATTGTCCATATTGATAATTCTCTTATTCTGTATAATCGCTAATACAAATACTCCCACCCACCAGTGATCAACTAACTAGATATTTTTCACTGATGAATGTTTGTTTTCAACATATTCATTGGGATCACTTTTAGAATAATCATTTCTAACATTTTAAATCAAATTTGAGTTAAACACATTTTCAATAAAGGAACGAAGCTGACACCATGAGGAAAACATTTTGACTCTGTGATTAATTTCTCAACAAAATATTTAATTTTTTCTGAAACGATTAGCTGCAAGAAATATATTTACTAGTTGACCAAAACTAGCAAATAGACCTATCCAGTATGAATTACCATTCAAAGAAAATCTCTTTTTTGCCTGTAGTATAAGTACCAGGTAATTGCTGCAAAATTTTGTCTTACTCTAACAGATATACCAATCCACAATTGCAGTTCTGCCTTCTTAAAGATCTCAGGCAATATTAAAATATTTGGCTGGAATTTTTCAAAACTAAGTCTCTAGTTCCTACCGAGGTATCAAGGAAAAGGCAAAAAAGAAGTCTATTTAATTAGAGGAGTAAGCTGTCACATAATTTCAGTATCTAGCTTTAGTTGTGAAACATTTGATAATTTATTCATTGCTAATATTATTTTATGCCTATTCCATCCACAGCTCAATAAGGGGTTTTTTTTTGTGGGAAACTAGTTTTATAACTTAGTGCTAAGGGAGTAAGGGAAATTATAGTTCAATTTGAAGTCAGTAGAAACTTTTCACCTTGAAATTAAAGGCCATGTTTTAGAATAAAATCAAAGGAAGGAAAGAAGGAAGGAAGGAAGGAAGGAAGGAGGAAGGTTTTCCAACTGAAGCACTAATATTATTTGACAAGAGAATACACAAGTAGGAACATGATACATTTAATTTTATATTCAGTAGTTGGCCACAGTATCCACTGAAGTGCAGTAGTTGGCTGCACCTATCCACTGAAGCTGCAGAAAAATTAGTTTTCATTAACCTATTTTCTAACTATATTTACTTGAGCTAATCATGATTATGTTTTGCTCTATCTTACTTTAAGTTTGCATCCACACATACAATTTTTCCTACTCACCATATCAACTATTTTTAAAATCCAGGTTCCTGTTGGATCCTCACCCCAGGTGTGAACAGACATAAAATCCCAGTCCTTAAAACCATAAGGTGATTTATCTCTTTGCCGTTCAGCCAGTAAGACTGTTTTGGTCCCTGAATCAGAGAAAAAAGTGACATTCCAATATGGGATAATATAAAATGCAACCTCAGGCAAAAGACACACAACCACAGTTTCATCCTCTGTACCCTCAGAATCATCTTTGCGTCCTCATTGCTGCCATCTTCACAATGCTGAAAACTCACCATGAACCAGACAGGAATCTCTCTAGCTCAGAGGTCCCCAACCTTTTGGGCACTAGGGACCGGTTCCATGGAGAGAGGTTTTTCTGCGGATTGAGAGTGCGTGATTTTGTGTGCTGCCTGCATCTCCTGATGGGGCTTTGCTTGTTTGTGTGGCCCAGTTGCTGGCATGCTGTGGACCGGTACAGGTCTACGGACTGGGGGGTTGGGGACCCCTGCTCTAACTGACCAATAATGCAGTGCTGTCCAGCAACAGCCACCTCTTTGTTCAGTTTAGGAAGCCTGAGAAAAAGGTGGCAAGGTATTGATTCTTGAGCTTGAGATGAGCTAGAAGTCAATCAACTCAGCTGCAGAAAAAGTACTGAAAACTTGGGCACCTAGAAGCATAGGGTCAAAATTTTCAGGCAGGAGACTTTCACATCTTTCTTCGACTTGGAGACACCACTAACAGAAACCTGCACGCAAAGTTTCTATGTGCAAAACAGTCATTCCTTCACTAATCATCAACCTTCCTAATTTCAACTTATTTTGCAATTAGCAACCTATTTTCTTCAAAGCACTTCTGATCAGAACTGTAAGAACAAGTAGAAGATGTTAAATGAATACAGAAGGAAGATGGCTTCACCAAAAATCATGCCTCTTTTTCTTCTGCCACAAACTCAATTAAAACCCCCCAAAAATGTCAGAAAGCTGTGAAGTTTGAGCAGAGGAGGAAAATTGCTCTGTTTGCCCATGTGCCATTCTAACTTTAACAGAGAAATGTTAAAGTAAAAATGCCATAATATGTGGCTTGCAAAGTATGAAATTAAAAATGCTGTCTTATTCTAATAAGCTAAACAACAATGACTGGATATGTAAGTCTATGTTCAGTGTGCCTTCCATAAGAGAGATGCATAGTTTTGTTAGAACTACTTTACACTAACAGTATTGGCATTAGTATTTTAAGAGCATACTGAATCAAACTGCATGGAGACCAATTTAATAGACCATTAAAAAAAAGTCAAATTATGGAATTTGCTATCACCAGATAAAATAAGACATCTGGTTAGGCTTATAAAAAGATGAAATAAATCCCAGGGGAGGGACTATCAATAGCCAATAATCTTCACTGTAGTTCGTTACCTCCAGAAATAAAAGAAATATCAGTTCTAATGAACTACAGCATAAGAGAACTATCAGCCTCCTGTCTGATTTATGAAATGCATTGGGCTGGGACAAGGTAGATTCATTAATGCTGAACAGGTAAACTGAAACTTTAGAGAACCTTTAGAAACAGCTAAAGCACTCTTCTGAAATGCTACTGATTTGTTGCTCTGTCTCTTCCACTTTAATACAGCAAAGATGCATGATTTGGCTAGATAATACAAATGAAGTGCATGGTTTAGATAGCATCAGTTGCTATTTGACTGATTCACACTATCCAAAATGTTCTCACAAATATATATTTTTATTTGAAATTTCAGGATATTGTTTTCGTTAATTCCATTCTAATATGTTGGCAAGTATTCCTTTTCTCAATGTATGCTTTATTTTTGTATCTGTTGAGGTATTAAAACAAAACTGTGCCACAATTACTAGCTAGTACAGAAATAGATAATGTTATGCTCTTACCTGATGGGGAAGTCAGAGTCACGTGAAGGTCACCCCTACGGGAATATTCAATTGTTGCTTCAAACTGTACATGTTCCAAGGATTTAATGGCATTTTCTTGACCTTCACAAGCTGTGGTAGGAATTTCAATGGTAACTTCACCACTAGCTTTTAATAACCTGCCAACAAGATTAGAAACTTAATTTACTTCATGAAGTTCTGATGCAGTTTTAAAAATCTGCAAAGTTTATTTATTTACTTATTTCTCATATATAAGAACTGCCCATCTCCCTCATAGCGGGATTCTGGGTGGTGTACAATGACAACATTAAAAACATAAAACCAGTAAAGTTTTGCTTTTGTTCAAAGTTTTGCTTTTAAAGAAAAGTTTACATAGTTGCTTTTTACTAAGACAGAAGTCCTTCAAAGCAATTTTAAATTCCCATAAAGCTCTGAAGCGCAGTTAAGGTTTATTGAGGAAAAATACCAAGATAATTTATTGTTGCAGGGAAACACTGTTCAAAACAAATATAGATGGTGGTGGGCCCCAGCTGAAGGATGATTGAGCTGTCAGATTTTACATGCTACTTGTTGTTCGGGTAGATTGAATCTGGTTTCTTTTGCATGCAAAGTGTATGCCATAGTCCCCATTCATTCCCTCCCCCATTCGTCTTGCAACTGTTGCTGTTTCAGGATCTATAAGGATTTTTACTATGCAATTAGATAGTAGAAGCACTGCCAGATGGAAGCAGTCACCTAGGGACAGTTGAAAAAAATGTTATATGGGAAGGCTATGGGTTTCCATATGTTTCTGGATCAGAGTTCAGCTAAAAACTAAGCTAAAATACCAAAGTGTCAGCTCTTACCTCGGCTGAAAGTCATTGTCTTTAACTATGCATTCTTTCTTCTCTGGCACTCCTTTCCAGCTTTTGGGATCAGCCAAATCTACCAGTGCTTTAGCATTGAGTAATCCAAATCCAAATCGGCTGTTCACCATCAGTCCAGCTCCGTTCTTCTTCCATCCTGGATTGTTGGCCAGTGGATCGAATTCAGATGTCCAGACTACCAAATGTTGCATATCCCTCCAGGTAAGATTAGGACTGTCACAAACAAAATTCTAGTTAATTTTGATCTTAAAGCATTGTAGTCTTTGCCCATAATCCACTATTTTAATAGGCACAGAATACTTTTCACCCCCCCCACACACCCCAGTGAGTCAGTTAGTTAAAGCATAAGCATTCAGTTAAGAAGCCCCAGTAATCAGCATCTCTCTACTGAATTTCCACCAGTATTTTGTTTTTAACGTCATAAAAGATTCATACTAAATGCAGAAACCTACTTAGAGACAAAGGAACTCTGTTCTTTGCTGGGAAAATAGATCAGCTAATCGGGTTGCCTTATTATACAATATTTATTATTCTATTCTATTTGAGGAGTCTTGGTGATCTCTGAACTTGGTTGTTTTCTTGCAGACATTTCATTACCCAAACTAGATAACATCATCAGTGCTAGTAACATCATCACTAGCACTGATGATTTTACCAATTTGGGTAATGAAATGTCTGCAAGAAAACAACCAAGCTCAGAGAACATTTCAACTCTGAGTTACAAATATTCTCATTTATTGGTTCTATTCTATTTATCATTGTGTTATATTTGTTCTCTACTGTCTACTTATTAGTGGTTTTTCTGATTCTTGTCTTCAAGTCCTCTTTGAGGAGAGTTTTTGAAAAGTTTCAAAGAATGGAACTGCAATAGTACTATTAGGACATCAAGAAAAAGCTCAATAATCACAATATAGAATTAGATTGATCATTCTCTTTACAATCCCATATCAGTTTATCTGTGGTTGTTCAGGTCTACGTATCCAAGAAGAAAATTTTACTTCAGCTTTTAATGTCTGTTTGAATATTTTATTTTTATTTTTTTTTATTTATTTTTATTAATTGCATTTATATCCCGCCCTTCTCCTTTCGGACTCAGGGCGGCTGACAAATGATAAAAAACTAACATACATAATATTACACCTAGTTAAAATTTAATTAAAACGAAATATTTGAGAATGTCCAATTAAAAGTAATTAAAACCCCTATAAAATCCCCTAGGCCAGTCCCGCTTGCTGGAACAACCACGTCTT